CCTATGGGGTGAAGGGTTGAAGGATCCCGGGCTCATTCCCGTCAAGGGCACCTACCTGGACGGCAGGCTCCTCCCAGGCCCTGGATGGGGCGTGTGCAGGGGGCAACCAATCAATGTGTCTCTTTAAAATCAATGTTTCTGTCTCTCCCTCTTCTCTATAAAAATCAATGGGAAATATCCTTGAGGTAGGAATAAAAAAATAAATAAATTTCAAGACTATAATGCAGGCATACTTCTAACGAGTCGCTGTTTTGGACTCACAGATACAGTGTTTTCATAAACATGGACTCCAGTGTCTTTACCAGAAAAAATGACTCTTTTTTTTAACCATTTTCAAGATGTCTCTTTCCTGAGGAAGGTCATTTCCCAGCGTCGCTACCGGCAGATGTCGCTGTTGTCCTTGGAGCGAGATGGAAAAACCTTCCACCACCACCTTGGACGCTGGAACCCACATTACCCAGAAGGCCTTGTGAGGACTACCGCCAGCTTAGCCAATGAAGGGTCAGAAACGGCCTTTCTCTTACGTCAAAAAGGGGCGGGACTTCGGGTGCTCTCTAGGCGGCTATTGGTCTCCACCCAGAATCTACTCCAGTACAGGCCGGACGGCTCCAGGTGGGCGGGGCAGTGGCGGATACTCGGAGGGAGAAGGCCCGTGTCCTTCCCGCTCAGCCCGCACGTGGGCGTGAAACTCGCTGACGCCACCGGGTTACCCACGTCCGTGACGGAACAGAGGCCCCATTATCCCCTTCCGCTGCCCCTGCTTCTTACCCGCCTCTCCGGGCCTCACCTGCCTGGGTCCGCGCACGGCGTCCAATGGCAATGGCCTTGCCCAGTTGCTCAGCTGAGGTGAGTTCGCGGCCCCCGCCCCCGAAACCTGCTCCCACCGCCTCCTGACCCTCAACCCTGCAGCCTGGGCTCAGGGCGCCTGTCCCGTCCCGCAGCTCAGGTCCCCGCCGAGGACCCTGAGGAAGGAGGAGGGGAGAGAGGAGTGTTGTGGCTTCTGAGGACACAGGAAATGCAGGGCCCAGTGGACAGGGGTGACTCGTATCTGAACTCCCCCTGCGGACGTGGGCTCTGAGTATAGAAACCCAGGTCCGAGGCGGCAGGGAGGATTTCAGAGCCGCATGGCCTGCTTTCCCCAGGCTGTGGGTGAAAGGCGCACCGCCCGCCTCTCCGGGCGGTGCGGGAGGAGGAGTCTGGCCGCTGGGCTCTGGTAGGGCCTGGCCTCCCCGGAGCGGGTCCGAGTGTCCGGACCGGCTGCGTGGCCGGCGGCGGGCCGAGGGGTGGGGCCAGGCGGCGACCGACCACGGGGGAGGTCGTGGGAGTGGAAGGCCTCACCGCCTGGCTCTTTCCTCCCTTCCCCTGTGGTCGGCTCCCCGTCCGCGCTGGGGCCGGGGGTCCATCCGGCCCTCGGGGCCCGGTCAGGGGGACCGGGGCCTGCGTGGGCCGGCCGCCAGGCCCCATGAGGCACGGCCTAGCCGTGCTGCTGGCGGCCTCGGGCATCGGCTCCCCGGCTCACAGCGGGAGCCCAGCGCAGGCTGCCACCCGGCCCGCGGGCCGGGCCCACGCGGGGCCGCATGGACCCCTGGCCCCAGTGCGGCAGCAGCGGCAGCGGAGTGGGGCGCGTGCCCTAGCCCGGGGAGGCTGCCGAGCTGCAGTGCGCTGGCCTCGTGGGCCGGGCCTGCTCCGAGCGGATGCTGCTCTTCCGGAGCTGGGCCGCTCCAGCGGCCGCACCCCGTGTGCTGGGCCTGTGCCGCCCGCCCCGCTGCAGGAGTCCTGGTCCGCCCCGCTGGCCTGCTGCAGGTGCTGTGCGGGAGGGCCATCCTGCCTTGCAGCGTGTTCCAGCGGGAGCCTGGCGAGGACTGCGCCCTCCATCTTGCCTTGGGTCCTCCATTTTGGGACAGAGCCATGTGCTTCTTCCCAGAAGACGCTGCTGCTAGCCACACCCAGGATTTCTCTGGACTAACCAATAATAATCAAGGGAAGTGCACGCCATCACTATGACCACACCCTGTACCTACTCGTGCCTGGCCAATGGGGGGGGGGGGGGCCACAGTCCCCTCTCCTGCCCTCACTCCGCCCCCCCCCTATAAAACCCTCTGTCCCAAGAGGCCTCCGTCTCTGGCCACTGGACTTTCCATTGTGTGGGTGGGTCTGGTGAACGGGGAGCGCAAACCGGCTTGCATTAAAAGGACTCTGCTTTTGCATCAGACTGACTGGCTCCCTGGGGGTCTTGGGAACCTTGAGATCTGGGCACAACAGTGGGGTCCACCAGGAATTGGGTTGTGGTAGATCCTTCTGAACCCTCACAAGCTCTCTCTGGATGCCATGTGCTAACTTCATGGGTGAGTCCAGAGAGGTCCTGTGCTGTGGAGCAGGGAGGTGGCAGAGCTGAGGCAGTGAACCTGGGGTCTGAAGTTGGGATGGGGGTAGACATTACACAGTGGTGTGCACATCTGGCGGAAGTGTGAGCTGATGGTCCCAGAGACCTGGTATTGGGACTTAAAAATAAATAAGTGTGTAGACAGACTAGGCAACTGGGGGAGGCGGTAGCAGCGCGGCGGCTGGAGGTGCAGCCGGGCTCGGCAAGGCCGAGCCTGCCTGCGCGGCGCAGCCGGGGGCTGCCGGTGCGGGCCGCGCCATTGTTGGGGGAGGGGGACCCGCGGAGCGCGGCGGAGTGTGGCGGAGCTGGGGGTCGAACGGAGACTGCGACGGCGAAGGCGAGGAGAGTGGACACCCCATGGGGAACACTCTGACCTGTTGCGGGAAGCCGGATGCCAGCCCCAGCATGGGCCGGCGCTCGGGGCCGGCCGAGCCGGACGACCCGTCTGAGGTCTACGAGGCGGCGGCCGGGGATGCGGTGGTGGTCGCGCCTTCGCCGGCTGCCCCGGAGCCCGCACAGTTGGATTTCGGCACCGGCGAGGGCCACCATCTGCAGCACATCAGCGACCGGGAGATGCCGGACGAGTTAGCTTTGGAATCAAACCCTTCTGACCACCCAAGGGCAAGCACAATTTTCTTGAATAAATCTCAAACGGATGTGCGAGAAAAGAACAACTATGTAAACCATGTATCTCCAGGGCACCTTACTAAAAAATATAGCTCATGCTCAACTATATTTCTAGATGACAGCACAGTCAGCCTAATCTTAGAACCACAGTACAATGTGTGATGTTAGCAATATATTACCACATAAAGAACAGAGATGCAAATAGATCCTTGGATATTTTCGATGAGAGATCACATCCACTCACAGGAGAAACAGTTCCGGAGGGATATTTTAGGCATGATCCTGAACACATTTATTTACAGATTTGTTCGGACCCTCTTCAGTGCTGCACAGCTAACAGCTGAATGTGCGATAGTGACTTTGGTTTACTTAGACTTTTTTTTTTTAATAGATTTTATTGATTTTTTACAGAGAGGAAGGGAGAGAGATAGTTAGAAACATTGATGAGAGAGAAACATCGATCAGCTGCCTCCCGCACATCTCCCACCGGGGATGTGCCCGCAACCCAGGTACATGCCCTTGACCGGAATCGAACCTGGGACCTTTCAGTCTGCAAGCCGACGCTCTATCCACTGAGCCAAACCGGTTTCAGCTTAGAAAGACTTTTAATTTATGCCGAGATAGACATTTGTCCCACGAACTGGAGGAGAATTGTTTTGGGAGCTGTTATTCTTGCCTCCATGGTTTGGGATGACCAGGCTGTATCGAATGTGGACTATTGCCAGATCCTCAAGGACATTACCGTTGAGGACATGAATGAGATGGAAAGGCATTTTTTAGAGCTACTTCAGTTTAATATTAATGTTCCTGCCAGTGTTTATGCCAAATACTACTTTGACCTTAGCTGATGACAACGACCTGCCTTTTGTATTTGCTCCTCTTAGCAGAGAAAGAGCCCAGAATCTAGAGGCTATTTCCAGATTGTGCGAAGACAAAGACCTGTGCAGAGCTGCTCTGAGAAGGTCTCTTAGTGCTGATAATTTTATTGGTGTTCAGCGCTCTAAAGCCATCCTCTCTTAAGGGAGAAGGGAGGGGTGGTAATGTCCTGAGCCCCTCCCTCATCTACAAGGACTGGAGAAATTAGCACTTCTCCTGCTCAAAAACCAGCAAAGTTAGTATTTTCACCTAAGACAGACGTCAAGTTGAAGAGACTCATGGGCAGCAAGGACTATGCTCATAGAAAGAATGGGACCTTGTCAATGCATCACACTCTGTCCTTTAGTTACAAAAAACACTCAAAAGCTAAAGCTCCCAACCCACACAGATACTTGCTTACAATGTAGGCTGATAGCTGTGAACTCTATGTGAAGTGTTTTTTTTTTTAATCCATGTTTAAATTTTGAGGCTTGAAAGGCACTAACTATATAACTTATATGTCTTTCCTACTTTTCTGAATCGCCCCATAAAAAAAGAATAAAAAATAAATAAGTGTGTGTATGTACATATATGTATATTTCAGAGAGGAAGGGAGAGGGGGAGAGAGAGAGACAACAGTAATGAAAGAGAATCATCCATAGGCTGCCTCCTGCACGCCCCCTATCCAGTTTGCAACCCGGGCCTGTGCCCTTCATTAGAATCAAACCCGGGATCCTTCAGTCCACAGGCCAGTGCTCTATCCACTGAGCCAAACCAGCTAGGACTGGTGTTTGGACTATAGGGTGAAGCATAAGCCCAGGTTTGTCTTTTTCTTGGAGAAATGATCTGGGAAACTGCCTTGGTATTGCTTGGCAGGAAGGCTGGGGCCCTGCAGGCATGGCTCAGAGCTTAGCTGCTGTCCCCCTTCCATACCCATCTGTTGTGCTGAGGGCAATCACAGTGAGTAATGGGACTGTTATGAGAGAGCAGCCAGCACTGGAATTAGGACCTGGTGTCCACACTAAACTGGGGAGCCCTGGATGAGGTTGAGGGTGGGGGGATGTGTAAGGAGTAGGAGTGTGGGTTCTCAGAGAGACAGCTCTGGTTTCAATTGTCTTAATTCTAACAGGTTGGCGTGACCTTTGAGGACATTGCCCTGTACTTCTCCAGGGAGGAATGGAGCCTCCTTGATGAGGGTCAGAGACAGCTGTACCTGAATGTGATGCTGGAGAACTTTGAACTTATATCCTCCCTGGGTAAGACCATCACTCTGGCTGGTTCCGGGGACCTGCCTTTGTATTTCCCCATGCCCCCCATCTCTGGGGTTGCTCTGTCCTCACCTGTGGACTATATACATTGCTAGATTTTTCCAGTTTTCTGGGTTCTTGCTGTGGCTGGCAGGGTTTGTTGTTTGCACTGCTCCCTTCTACACCTTTAGTCACAACACCTGCTGTACCGAACTCTTAAGGGTTTGTGGTTAGTTGTGTGACAGGGAGCCTAATGGATTCCAGTTGAGTAGTGAGCAAAAGCACATTCTTTATTCCTGTTGGTCATTTGTACATATATTTTTTAAAAGTATCTATACATCCTTAGTCTTATTTTATGTGTAAGTATTTTTTTATTGATTTCGGAGAGGGAGGGAGAGGGAGAGGGAGAGAGAGAGAGAGAGAGAGAGAGGGAGAGAAACATCAATGATGAGAGAGAATCATTGATCGGGTATCTCCTGCATGCCCCCTACTGGGGATGAGCCCACAACTTGGGCATGAATTCTGACCAGGAACCGATCCATGACCTCCTTGGTTCATGGATGGATGCTTAACCACAGGCAAACCAGCCAGGGCTTTAGTCCTAATTTTAACTATATTTATTAGCTATGAGTGTTTTGAATATTTTTCTAGTTTATAATAAGATACATCTCCTTGCTCTGTCAGGTTTGGCTCAGTGGATAGAGCGTCAGCCTGCGGACTGAAGTGTCCTGGGTTCGATTCCAGTCAAGGGCATGTACCTTGGTTGCGAGGACATCCCTAGTGGGGGGTGTGCAGGAGGAGGCTGGTCGATGTTTCTCTGTCATCCATGTCTCTAACTATCCCTCTCCCTTCCTGTCTGTAAAAAATCAATAAAATATATTTAAAAAAATACGTCTCCTTTTGCATTTGCTAAATTGTGCTCCCCAAATATTGCATTCTTGTTTTATGTACAAATTTCATGTTTTTGGCAACTCTGCATTCAGGAAGTGTAGTGTGGTATTTTTTCAGCAGGCTCAGATGCAGGTTAACAGTGTTTACCTATAAAGTGTTTTTAATGAATTTACGTAGAATTTTTTCAGCAACACTATTGTCTTCTTCACAACCTTCATTATAGTCTTGCCATAACATTACTTTCTCTCTGTATCACAGTATTTCCTTTATTTGGTTGACCTGAACCGAATCCATAATATCTTCAAAATGTTCATGTGATTTGCAAGTATCATTTCCCATCCTCCTATTTTAAAAAATATATTTTATTGATTTTTTTTACAGACAGGAAGGGAGAGGGATAGAAAGTTAGAAACATCGATGAGAGACAAACATCGATCAGCTGCCTCCTAGACAGCCCCACTGGGGATGTGCCCCCAACCAAGGTACATGCCCTTGACCGGAATCGAACCTGGGACCCTTCAGTCCGCAGGCCAGCGCTCTATCCACTGAGCCAACCCTGTTAGGGCTCCCATCCTCCTATTGTTGGCCTTTGCATTTCATTTTGTTAATTGCTATTGTGCTGAGGAAAAGCACTTTCATTTGTTTTAGCCCTGACTGTTGATTTTTCCTGTTTTGCCTGGTGGTTGGTGCCACATCCCAAAAATCATGTCTAAAACAAATCTCCAAACGTTTTCTCTGGGTTGTCTTGAAGGATTTTAAAGTTTGTGTTTTTTAAAATATTTTTTATTGATTTTTTACAGAGAGGAGGGGAGAGAGATAGAGAGTCAGAAACATCAATGAGAGAGAAACATCCATCAGCTGCCTCCTGCACACCTCCCATTGGGGATGTGCCCGCAACCAAGGTACATGCCCTTGACCGGAATTGAACGTGGGACCCCCGACTCCCCAGGCCAATGCTCTATCCACTGAGCCAAATGGTTTAGGGCAGGATTTTAAAGTTTTAATCGGGACTTTAATTCTTTCATGCAATCTGAGTAAATGTTTATCAGTGGCTTTGTTGTTTTCCATGTGAATATCTATTTTTTCAATACCCCTCATTGAAGAAACTGTCCTTTCTTAACATTTCTTGTGGTTTTGTCATAGAGGTTACCTGAACTTATGTACCTTTGTGCATCAGAACCACACTCTCACAAACTCAGCCACCTAGCTAGGGCTCTGCATTTTTTAAATTAATTTTAGGAGTTTATAGTGAGTTCTTTACAATTTCCTCCATGTAAGTTCATGTCATTTGGCAACATCTCTTGTGGGTTGTGCTTCAATGTCGGGTGTAATATCTCATCTTTCATTTCTTTTTAAAATTCATTTTATTGTTGTTTCTTTTGTTTTAGTTTGGATGAAGATTTGCCAGTTCTGTGCATCTTTTAACAAAATAGCTCTTAGCCATGTCAGGCATGGTGGTTAGAGTGTAGGCCCAAGCAACAAAGGGTTGGATTCCTGATTAAGTGCATGAAGCTGGATTGCAGTTTTGATCCTCCTACCTTGTTGGGCACCTGTGGAAGGCACCCAATCAATGTGTCTCTATCACGTATATGTTTCTGTGTGTTTTTCTCTCTCTTTCTCCCTTCCACTGTCTGGAAAAGTAAGTGAAAAATATAGTCTGGGGTGAGGATTAACAAGAACAAAAAGGTTAGCTCTTAGTTATGATATACTTTTGTCTCTAGTTTATTAATGGTGGTTCTTTTTTTTTTTTTTTTTTTTTAAATGGTTGTTCTAATATTCATTGTTTGGTTTTTTTGCTACCTTTGGGTATACTGTCCTTTTTTGTTTTCTTCTAAAATATATTTTTATTGATTTTAGCGAGGGGAAGGGGGAGGGATAGAGAGACAGAAACTTCAATTATGAGAGAGTATCATTGTTTATCTTCCTGCTGCATTCCCCTACTGGAGATCGTGCCCACAATCCAGCATATGACCTGACGGGGTATTGAACTGTGACATCCTGGTTCATAGGTTAATACTCGGGTTTACTTTCTTGTTGTGTTTCCAGTCTTCTGAGATGCAAGGTTAGGTTGTTTATTTGAGATCTTTTTTCTTAATGTAGAAATTTATTGCTCTAAACCAACGGTTCTCAACTTCTGGATCGCAACCCCTTTGGGGGTTGAACGACCCTTTCACAGGGGTCGCCTAAGACCATTGGAAAGTACATATATAATTACATATTGTTTTTGTGATTAATCACTATGCTTTAATTATGTTCAATTTGTAACAAAATACATCCTGCATATCAGATATTTATATTATGATTCATAACAGTAGCAAAACTACAGTCGCCACAACATGAAGAACTGTATTAAAGGGTCGTGGCATTAGGAAGGTTGAAAACCACTGCTCAAAACTTTCCTCGTAGAATTGCATTTCCTGCATTGTATACATAAGTGTTGGTAAATTGTGTTTGAATTCACTTTGTCTATTTATTTCAGATCTCTTTTCTGGGTTTTCTTTCACCCGCTGATCCTTCAGAAGTGTGTTGTTTAATTTTTACATATTTGTGTATTTTCCAGCTTTCTTGAAACTAAAACTGATTTCTAGTTTTATACATTGTTACTATATAAGGTCCTTGATGTGATCTCTTCTCAAACTTTGAGACTAGTATGTATTTATTCTGTTTTCTCTATAGTCTAGTCAGACTTCAATTATTCCTTATTGCTTTTGGATGGGATGTCTACCTGTTGTTGAAGGGGCAATGTTGAAGTTGCCTACTAATATTGTGTGTTTTTTTCCTGCCTTCAGATCTGATATTAGTTGCTTAATATAATTACTTACTCTGTTTTTTAGTGAATAATACTTCAAATTGTTATCCTTTTGATGAATTGACTGATACATCATTTGATTCACACATCATATGAAAGCTTATTTTATGATGAACTTTCTTGTAACAAATTTTTTTGGGAGACCTGTTTTGTGTGATAGAATTTTCCCCATCCCTGCTCTGTTTTGGTTTTATTTGCATGGGATATTTTTTGCATCTTTTTTCCCTTCCTATTTGGGTCCATAAAGATTGTAGGCAGCGTATATTGAGTCCAGTTTCCGTTTCTTTTATCTCTTCAGTGACTCTCTATATTCTGAATGAAGAATTTGTTTATGGGGCAACTATTGCCACTTCTTCATGGTTTCTGGCACTTCTGTAGTTCCTTTGTCTCCTGTTTTATTGTGATTTGATGATTTTGTACAGTGATTTGGTCCCTCTCTCTTTTGTATATCTATTACATTGTGTTTGTGATTTTCAAGACACTAACATAAAACAAGTCATACTCTTTGTAGTCCATTTCATCTTAACGCCTTCAATTGCATATAAAACTTCTCCCCTTGGACTCTCCACCACACACTTTTTCATAGATTAATGATGTCTCAAGTAAATTTTTTTCATGTTGTGTAGCTATTAAGGTACATGATGTCAAGTTCATCTTTTTTACTAGTTTAAATTTATTAACTTCTTTTTTTAATATATTTTATTGATTTTTACAGACAGGAAGGGAGAGAAGTAGAGAGTTAGAAACTTCGATGAGAGAGAAACATCGATCAGCTGCCTCCTACACACTCCCCACTGGGGATGTGCCCACAACCAAGGTAATCTTGAACTTTTGTCAGCATGTCTAAAAAGTCAGGTTGAGTGGCAATGAACTTCCCTAGCTTTTGTGTTTCTTGGAAAATACTTATTTCTGAAGATCAGGTTTTCTGAATAAAGTGTTGATGGTTTTCATTGAGTGTTTTCAATACATCATTTTATTTTCTAGTTTGCAAGGTTTCTTCAGAGGAATCTACTGATACCCTTCCTCTGTTGTTCCCCTGTGTGAGAGGTGTTCCTATTTTCTTTGTGTTTTCACAATTCTCTGTGCCTTTTGATTTTTTTACTGTTCTATTATAACATATCTTGATGAAGTATGGTTGGTGTCTTGAATCTGTACAGAAACCTCTTAGAGTGCATGCATTTGATTGTTCACATCTGTTTTTTCAGATTATGGAAGTTGGTTTCAGTTTATTTCTGAAAAATCAATGTTCTACCCTTCTTCTTCCTTTCTCCCTTTTGTCTTTCTTTCTGTCTCGTTCCATGACCAGCACACTTAGTGTTTCCTGGGATTCCCATAATGCAAATATAGGAAAACTTTATGGTGTTACTTAATATTACTTGCTGTATTCTTTTTTTTTTTTTTAATATATTTTATTGATTTTTTACAGAGAGGAAAGGAGAGGGATAGAGAGTTAGAAACATCAATGATAAAGAAACATCGATCAGCTGACTCCTGCACATCTCCTACTGGGGATGTGCCTGCAACCAAGGTACATGCCCTTGACCGGAATCGAACCTGGGACCCTTCAGTCCGCAGGCCGACACTCTATCCACTGAGCCAAACCGGTTACAGCTGTATTCTTTAAATTTATTTATTTTTTCTCCATCTGGATGATGTCAAGTGACCTGTTGTGGATATCACATATACTTTATGTCTGCTTTTGATACTCTTTATGGCATTATTTCATTTTATTCATTGTAATCAGGCAACTCCAACACTCTCTTTCATTCTTTTTTTATGATTTCTGTCTATCTGGTATTCTTTTGTTCTCTGTTGATGTCTTCATTATGTTGGTTCTATTTGTGTTCTCTTGGAGCTCGCAAACATTTTTAAATGTAAATATTTTGGATTTTTTATCAGGCTGTATGTAGTTCTTTATTTATTTGGTATCGATTAGTAGAAAATTATTATGTTGTCTTAATGGTGTCTTTCTTTTAGTCCTGTGTTGATGTCTACACATTCGATGAAGCAGTTACTCCTTTCCACTCTAGGGCCAATTCTAGTTCAAGAAGTACGTTCATCAGCATATGGAATCAAGGGTTTTGACTGGGTGGAGTGTTGTTTCAGGTTTGAGGAAGTACCAGGAGCCTAGTCTCCTTGAAGCTCCATGAGCTGAGGTTAGAATAACAAAAAGTATGGGTCCACAATGGCTTTGGCAGCAAATATTTTTTTTTTTAATGACAAGTGATGATTTTAGAGTCTTTGGTAGCAAATATTCTTTGGCACATGTTGATTTTTATTTTATTCCTGGGATAGGTTGTTGCCAAAGGGATTTCTTTCGGGATGCATGCTGATAAATATTATGGGTCCGCTGATTGAGTAGACTGTGGGGAGTTCACAGATGTTGCATGGACTTCTGTGATTCCTGAATGCAAAAATTTACATTATTTTTCACAGAGCAGGCCACTAAGATCCACATTAGTACAAGTGCAGTGGTTGATAGAGGAAACACTGACACTTTTTTTTTTTTTTTTTTTTTTTTTTACTGTGAGAGTACAGGTCCTTTTCTGCCAGGAACTGGACCTTTATGGATGCCACATATTAGATGGAGAAGATATGAGAAGTCATATGTATATAAGAGAGTCTTTATTGAAATCCAAGTAGCCATTGTTACTGAGGAGCCATTAGACAAAACAGTTCTTCAAAGTAAAGTTCTACAAGTAGTCTGTAAAATAGACAGCTGCATGCTGGCTGGTTAACACTGTCTCTTCCCTACAAAGCAGCCCCCAACATAGGAGCCATACTAAGTAGCTGCTGCTAACATAGCAAGCATTGCAAACACAGTAATCCAAACGAGTAGCTGTGTATTGGCTGGTCAGAAACGTACTTCACATCAACTTAGACAAAAGGGGATTCTTGCAAAATAGTGACATTATATAGGGTTTCCCAAAATTCACGCAAGATTTGAATTTTGTGTGAGCATTAACAACAACAACAACAAGAAAACATAAAAGCCTAATTTTACTTGGTTTATTGAATCAGGTTCTAATATCTGTTGCCCTTTGATTTCAATCCCTTCAATTTGATAAGCATTACCAAGTACCAGTTAGGCCCAGGAGCAGGGACAATGAAGACCAATGAAGACCACGGCTTTGCGTATGTGCCAGCAAAGCCATGGAGGCCATTTACCCGATGTCCTATTCCATACATAACCCTATACTGTATACTTTATGAATCAATAAAAAATTTACAATTTTTAACTATAAACCTGTGTTTTCTATCAAAATTACTTCTTGTGTGAATTTTGGGACATCCTATAGAAGGGCACACCTGCACAGTGTATAGCTTGCTGTGTCCATGCTTTTGTGCCTGTGTATATCAGATTAGCCTTGAACACTCTGATAAGGATTCCCACGCTCAGATTGACCTTGAACATCCTGTGTACTTTGGACAGGGCCCCCACCTTGACCCTAGCCAAATATGTTTGGTAACCCACTCTGGTCAGCTCTTTGTATTTCAGCTTTTTTTTGCTCTGCTGAATTCCTTTTAGTGTTAATTGCACTCTTTTCTTTTTAATCCTCACTCTTTTGTCCTCAGCTGCTTTTCAGGGAGAGTGGAAAGGAGTGAACAGATTGGGGAACATTGATATGAGAGAGACATAATGACAAGTTGCCTCCCGCACCCACTTGATGGGGCAGGAGCTAACCTCCACCGATGTGTGTAACCTTGACAAGGAATCAATCCTCTACCCTTCCATCTGCGCTCCAAGCATTGAGCAAAATCGGCCAGGGTTTCATTGTACTCTTAACCCCTTGTAGTGGTTTTTATTCCTGGATAACTGTCTACTTGTTCTGAGAGTGGAAAGGATTATCATGTATCTGCCATCTTGCTGATGTCACTCACATAGATTTCTTTTCCTGTGATAACTGTTGCACTTTGTAGTTCTTCCACAATGCTCACCATGCATCTCTTTGTTTTTTTCTTTTGGATTTATATCATCTGAATCCCATATGCTGAAACAATTGGGATTCATGGGGAAGAATCATTTGTGCATCACAGAAGAAACACGACCTGATGAATGACAGGGTGGACCCAGAGGTGGTCTTGCCTTGGTGAAGGCCTGTTGGAAAAGTTTTGACAACAGAGCTTTGTGAAAGTCATAACTAGGAACCCATTTTGATCAAATGTATTTTGTTGCCATGACCCATTCCTCACCCAATTCTACTTGTACTTGCTTATTGTTAACACTTGGCCAACTCCTCTGTTGTAATAGTGTTCATTTCTACCCGGATTCCAAGTGCACAGATAACTTTATCTTCTCTAAGCATTGCCCCTCTACCTCTTTCACAGTTCTCTCTTTATGGCGAACCCACCTTAGTCTATGCCTGCAGAGCTTTAGAGTACACATGTATTCTTGTGTTAACCTTGAACATCTTGTGCTCCAGTACAATAGTTTTTTGTGAGTTTGAACACATTCAAATTCTCCTACGCAGACTCAGGTTCCCAAAATGAAAGGTCCTAAAAGAAGCCGTCTGTAGAGGATCAGTGAGCAGAGCCTTCTTCTCTTCTATGTTTCCCATTCTATGTTTCCGTCCCTGCCTTGATGAGATTTTCACCATTGACTAATCTTTGGGGCCACGTAATGTATAACAGCTATTTCCTTGGAGTCCAACTCACTTGTCTGAAAATCATTCTATGAAATCATGCCTAGTCATGACAGATAAACATTTGTAGTAAAGATATTCTGTTTTCATAAGGTCAACATGTATTTCACCAGCGTTTCCTTTTGTTCAGGTTGTTGCTGTGGAGCAGAGAATGTGGAGGAACCCACTGAACAGAATGATTCTGTAAGAGTGTCACAGGCAAGGAATCCCAAGTTAGCCTTGTCTTCCAAGAAGAGCCACCCCTGTGAGAGTTGTGGACTAGTTTGGGGAAACATTTTCCACTTGACTGAGCTGCAGGGACAGATACTGTTGAGGTGTGGGGCATGTGCAAAACATTTTTATTTCAGTGCAAAATCTCACCAGCAGCATGTGAGAGAGAACATGTTGATTAGAGGTGTGAGCAAGATGTCACTTTCAAACATCTGCAATTTCAATGTTTACCAGAATTATTTCACCTGTAGGGAGGTTGGGCAGGGCACACTTACCTGGTCAGGACATCTTCATCTTAAGGCTTCTCAGACCAGGGACAGGCCAAATGATATTTCAAAGGGTGGATTAGCATTTCAGAGGAGAAAAAGTTTTTACACCAGAAAGGAATTTGAGGAAGACATTGGCAGTAGTAATCTTCATCATCATCAGACAGTTCACACTGGAGAAAAGCCTTATAAATGCATTGAATGTGGGAAATCTTTTACCAGTATCAGTGGCCTCTATTATCATCAAAGCTTTAAAAGTGGACAGAAACCTTATAAATGCATTGAATGTGGAAAATCTTTTATCACTGGCAGTCAGCTTCGTCGTCATCAGAGAGTGCACACTGGAGAAAAGCCTTATAAATGCTGTGAATGTGAGAAATCATTTACCAATTTGAGTAGCCTCCGTTATCATCAAGGTTCTCACACTGGAGAAAAGCCTAATAAATGCAGTGAATGTGAGAAATCTTTTATTACTAGTAGTGAGCTTCGTCATCATCAGAGATTTCACACTGGAGAAAAGCCTTATAAATGCAATGAATGTGGGAAATCTTTTACCATGAGGTATTACCTTCATTGTCATCAGAGAATTCACACTGGAGAAAAGCCTTATAAATGCAGTGAATGTGGGAAATCTTTTATCACTAGTAGTGAGCTTCATCATCATCAGAGATTTCACACTGGAGAAAAGCCTTACAAATGCAGTGACTGTGGAAAATCTTTTATCACCAGCAGTGAGCTTCGTTGTCATCAGAGACTTCACACTGGAGAAAAGCCTTATAAATGCAGTGAATGTGAGAAATCTTTTATCACTAGCAGTGAGCTTCATTGTCATCAGAGAATTCACACTGGAGAAAAGCCTTATAAATGCAATGAATGTGGGAAATCATTTACCAATTGCAGTAGCCTCCATTATCATCAAAGTTCTCACACTGGAGAAAAGCCTTATAAATGCAGTGAATGTGGGAAATCTTTTATCACTAGGAGTGAGCTTCGTCATCATCAGAGAGTTCACACTGGAGAAAACCTTTATAAATGCAATGAATGCGGAAAATCTTTTACCACTAGCATTCACCTTCATTGTCATCAGAGAGTTCACACTGGAGACAAGCCTTATAAATGCAGTGAATGTGGGAAATCTTTTACCACTAGCAGGTACCTTTATTGTCATCAGAGAGTTCACACTGGAGAAAAGCCTTATAAATGCAGTGAATGTGGAAAATCATTTACCCGTAGCAGTGGCCTTCGTTATCATCAAAGTTTTCACACTGGACAAAAGCCTTATAAATGTAGTGAATGTGGGAAATCTTTTCCCATTAGCACTGCCCTTCATTGTCATCAGAGGATTCACACTGGAGAAAAACCTTATAAATGCAATGAATGTGGGAAATCTTATACCTGGAGTTCCTGCCTTGTTCGTCATCAGAGAGTTCATACTGGAGAAAAGCCTTATAAATGCAGTGTATGCAGGAAGTCTTACATCACTAACAGTGAGCTTCGTCGTCATCAGAGATGTCACAATGGAGAAAAGCCTTATAAATGCAGTGGATGTGGGATGTCATTTACCAATTGGAGTAGCTTCTGTTACCACAAACGTTCTTACACTGGAGAAAAGTCTTAGAGTGAATGTGGGAAATCTTTCAAAAGTAGCAATGGTCTCCAGTATCATCAGAGAGTTCACACTGGAGAAAGCTAGTATGGGTGCAAATAACATGAGATATGTCTCAGCCAAATTTCTAAATTTGCTCTACACATGTGAGTCCAAATGAGAATAATTACTTAGATGTGTACAAAATGTAGTTTTTTAGTTAGATCTTAACAATAGTATAAGAAAATTTGTGGCCGAAGCCGGTTTGGCTCAGTGGATAGAGCGTCGGCCTGCGGACTGAAGGGTCCCAGGTTCGATTCTGGTCAAGGGCATGTACCTGGGTTGCGGGCACATCCCTGGTGGGGGATGTGCAGGAGGCGGCTGGTCGATGTTTCTCTCTCATCAATGTTTCTGACTCTATCTCTCTCCCTTCCTCTCTGTAAAAAATCAATAAAATATATTTAAAAAAAAAAAAAGAATTTGTGAAGTCTCATTTGCCTGAATTGTATCTCATACATGTAATCACCTACATTATATAAAGTCCCCATAAGTGTTTTTGTTGTTTTTATTTTTATATTTGAAGTATACATATCTATGTTTCACTTTCCAACATACAAAGATGTGTTGCCAGATCTATGTCACTACATATTTCTGTTGCTGAAGGTATTTCACCTGAACTACCTATAAGGCCCCTACAGATGGCATCGATCACCATCCTCTTGTTCCCAGGGAAGTTTGTGTAGTTTGTTGAAGAAAATTAGGAATACCTGAGCCCTTCTGAATTGTTTTCCTTCTCACAAGTTGCCATATAGGGCTCATTAGTGTTGACCCCAGAAAACATAGTATTGCAGAGCTACTGCCATTCTCAAGGGCATACTTTCCCTAGATGCCAGTGATGAATTTATTGAGTGCCTAAGTCATCAATGCAAGAACTGCTAGTCTCATGTCTCTGGTTTGTAAAATAATAAAGGCTTTTTCCTAAGACTTCTCATCTTGGGTTTGCTGTTTACTCTATGAGTTATAAGGAGATCTGGGCTCTCCTAGCATGATCAGGAGAAAAACATATGGGGTCTCAAACATTTTTGCCTTTGAGGGAATAGTATGGTGCAGAAATTTCCAGAGCAGTTTTTGCCAAATTTTCATTTCTGCCCCGTTTTCCTAGGAATCACTGTGGACTCTAGTCCTCATGTGATGTCTGGATGCTTTGCGACACAGATCACTCCAAAGTGGGTGTTGTGATAACCTGAAGTATATCTTCCAGCAGCATGAATTTTTTTCTTGTTTTTCAAGGGATCCCCATACACTTGAAGGGAATTTCTTGTCCAGGTATTGCAGAGGGCCTTGAGACCTAAAGCCTACAATTCTATGGGTGACTGTCACTGTTGGGAGTACAATAGTAGTTAGAGGAAACCATTACAGAAACGGTGACCTAGTGAGTTTTGCTGAGGATTGCAGCCCATTAGATGGAATGTTCCTCATCTAACCTTGCATCCAGGAATGTTTCGGAGGAAAAAACAGCTGGAGTGGTGTGTACCGGTACACAGATCTGAGGATCTCCCGGCATGTTTATCTTCTGTCAATCGAGTCATTGTCATTCAGTGTAATTAAGAGGTCTTATGGCTTCCTGTATCTTCTCAGATGTTCCCATCAGAGCCATTTGTGCACCGGCAGAAATACAAAGACGAAGGCAGTGTCTGTAGACCAGTGATGTGGCTTTTGTGACCCAGCCAGCATTCTTGTCGGTTTGGGTGAAAGTTCTTTATTGTTGGTTACATTTCTGTCATTGAGGCTAGACTTGCGCCCAGAGGGCATAAGGTGTATTGAATATAGACTTGCCCAACCTATTTTTCTAATATAGTTAAATATACACGTTTTTAAATTTTGAATCATTTTAAAAAAGGCATAATGAGTAAAGTACAGGTTAGGTATACTGTTTCATAAATCATGATGTGTTCATGAAACTAAAGCCATCATTATACTCATAACTAGAGTCCTGGTGCACAGATTCATACACTGGTGAGGTCACTCAGCGTGGCCTGTGGGGATTGATCTGAAACTGGCATCCATCATCTCCCAAGTACCAACTGGCAAGGCGACCAGAGAGGAGCCTGAGCCAAGGCCAGGTACCGTGATGCTCCCGCTCATCCTGGTCCTGCTGCTGCTGCCACTGGTGCTCAGTTGGTTCGGTGCTGCACCGCCGTGGTCTCTGCGCACCCATTCTAAGGTAATACTGGCACGCCCATGTCTGAGAAGCAGCAGTGAGCTCATGCTCAGTCAGTTTCAATGCTGGTCTTGATCCTGGTCCTGGTCAGGATGGGGTAGGGGTGTGCAGGGGCAGTGAACACGGGAGAGGCTCGTGCCTTCACAGCTGTGCTTGCCAGCTCGAAGCCTGGCATCTATCCCTGTAGGTGAGCTGAGTGGCGCTTCTGCTTTGGGAACGCACTGACCACCAGGGGACAGCTCCTGCATTGAGCATCTACTCCCTGGTGGTCAGTGCGCATCATAGCGACTGGTCTCTTAGGCTTTTCTATACGTAGATATTGTCCATATCTGTCACTGTAATCTTGGTTCATGACTTTTTTTAATGTGTACATGTGCTTCACAGACTAACAAGTAACCAGTGATTTACATTCCATTTCAATAGATCACTGCATTTTCTAAGTATTTTTCTGCTTTATTTCTCATAAATTTTTGGATATTTATTAAAGATATATTAGTAACTCATCTTTTTTTATGATATTTTTACTTGGAATATATCACCAATAGTTTATCCAAATGAGTATTTGGTCATTTCTAAAAAGCTGGTACAAAGTATCCTATATAATAAAAGGCTAATATGCTAATAAACTGAACTGCAGAAAGACCGGTTGCTATTAGGCACACTGACCACCAAGGGGAAGACGCTCAATGCAGAGCTGCCCCTGGTGGTCAGTGCGCTCCCATGGGGAGCGCCACTCAGCCAGAAGCCTGCTCACAGCTGGTGAGAACAGAGTCGGTGGGAGCCTCTCCTGCCTCCGTGGCAGTGGCAGCGCTAAGGATGTCCGTCAGTGGGACATCCCCCAAGGGCTCCCAGAGTGCAAGAGGATGCAGGCCAGGCTGAGGAACCCCCCTCCACGTGCAATGGGCCGCTAGTCTATCTTACCTAATAATAGACAAACATGTAAATTGACCATACCTTCGCTACGCCAATCAGGAGAGTATGCAAATTAACCCAACAAAGATGGTGGTTAATTTGCATACACAAGCACAAGCGGCCTGGGTCCCAGGAACATCCTCGGGACCCAGGTCGCTCCTAGTCTGTAGGCCTGCGCATAGGTCCTGAGCAGCTAGGGTCCCAGAACGCCCCGGCCGATCTGGGCCAATGGGCGCAGGTGCCAAGTGGATGTTCTCGCCCTGTGGCTGCTTGCGCCTGTGCAGGTGCCAAGCAGCAGCCTGGGTCCACGCCCCCCAGCCCAGCACCCATCACAGAGGCAAACAGGCCAAGCCAGGCCTCCCCGAGATCGGTCCTGGGGTGAACAGAACAGGCCTTCCTGCAATCACTGGTGGGTGAACAGGCCAGGCCTCCCCGCAAACTATCTCAGGGCAAACAGAACAGGCCTCCCTGCGAACGATCGCAGGGTGAACAGAACAGGCCTCCCTGCGATTGCTGGTGGGGTGAACAGGCCAGGCCTCCCCCATTCGCTCTCAGGGCGAACAAAACAGGCCTCCCTCTGAGGCAAACAACAGGCCACGCCTCCCTGCGATCCCAGGCGAAGAAGCCGTTCTGCTGACCAGCCTGCGCTATGGACCTGTTTGGGTGGGTGGCGCAGAGTCCAGGGCCTCTAGCCTGCAGCCACAGGAAGTCTCCCTCTTTCCAGAGTTAGGAGTACTAGCCCAGGTTCACCCAGCGCCGGGTCTTGACTGCCGGGGTAAGTTCCTGCAGGCTGGGGTTTGATCCCTAGGCATTAGCAGTAGGAGACCAGTGCCTTTGTTACTGCTGTGTGTCCAGGTTTTAATTGAACAAATGCCCGGTGGTCCCGGGTGCCAGCTTAGCAAAATCTTTTAGGAGAAGAATTCTGTCTGGGTTTCCTCAAATTCCCTCAGCTACTACTCACCCCTCTGTACAAGCGCAGAACAAATGAGACCACTTAAATAAAAATCAGAGATCTCCAGCAACGGTGGGCCTCTCTCATCACAGTCATTTGGACTGGATGGCATTTGAGTATTTATCTAGGCACCATGACAGGGAACACACAAGCTCAAGTCATGATCTCTGCACTTAAATAATTCACAATCTTATTAGATAGAGCGAGTGGGTGATAAAAGCGCAGTAATGACATCAGAATGTAAGGCAACAATATAGAGAGGAACAGAGGCAATTGCTAGGATGATTTTCCAACAAATAGTACAAAGAGTATGTGCTGTGAGTTAAATACAAAAATATGCGTGGAAGTAGCTGGTTCATGAGTATGGGATCCCTTCCTATTTTACAGGAAACTGAGTTCCATGTGAACTGTGTAATATGCTATGATATCTGAGGCACAGGACAAGGGAGGCCCTAAAGGTACTATGCTTTGAAATTTGAGCCATTTATTGTTCAATGTGATTTATTTCTGCACGCCTCAGTTTTGTAATAGTTAAATTACTAGAATAATACATTTTGCTATAAAATATTACTAGAAGAGCAAATGATCAGGTGACATTATTATTTTCTATAAATGAACACAATTTCTGGTACGCTAAAGTGATAGGTATTATAGAAATATTCAGGGGGGGGAAAGGAGACATATGTAATACTCTTTGTAATACTAAAGAAATAAAAATTATTAAAAAAATAGAAATATTCAGATAGGAAGACCTACAGGCTTGATTACAAGTTAGGCTTACTATCACAACCCAAATTTATTGCTTAAAAAAAAAAAAGCAGGGAGCCAACTAGAAACTTAATCAAATATAAGCCCTTGAAGGGCAAATGTAAATTAGATAAGCTTTGCTATTACAAGAGCAAGAAAAAATTCAGATGCAAGAATAAGAAGCACACTGCATCCATTCTAAGTTGCTGTTAAAAAGAATGATATACTATGAAAATACTTAATACAGATTGTAAAGAGATTTGTTCAAAGAGGATTACCTAGAGTAGGTGGTATTTCAGTTAATTATTTTAAATGTGAAGAAGTTAGATAAGAAAAAGGTGTAGGGGTCCCAAATTGCAGAGGGTGCAGGCGGGGCTGAGGGATGCCCCCCCCCCCCGTGCACGAATTTCATGCACTGGGCCTTAGTGTGTGTGTGTGTGTGTGTGT